AGAGGTACCACTGTACATCCAATCCAGCTACTAATTCCCCATTTGTATCTGTCCTACATGGAGAAGATAAATTCAGAGAATCTGGGACTAATTTGCAGGGAAATGAGTACTAGCGGGTAACAAACGTCATTCAAATGTTTTGAAGCCCCACTTGGAAATGTGGCAACTTCACATTGTGAAGCCAGTGGACGTGTACATACATGTGTATCCACAGGTGGAGGATGACGGAAAGGATTAAAAATGCAACCTCTTAATTGTCCATAACGTTCTCCCATGTTATACAGGCTTTTGCAGCCACATTCTGAGATAAGCAGCTTTTCTTGATTACATATAAATAAATACAATACAGCTTTTACCTAAATATATAAAGAATAGCCTTTGGCAGAATTTACGTGTTTCACGCTGATGATGTCTCCCCATGAAGGGATATACCTTTAGCACCCGACAAATGGATGATCAGTGTATTGACAGGATAACAAATTGACAGAACAACTTTATGGGGTTAAAAATTGGTCTCAGCTTTATTGATCACAGATGTAGGTTGGAGGCTTTTTCTGGGAATGAAAAAGATGAAAAGGATGAGTGTTGAGAAATCCAAGGAATTACTTTTTCTGCTTTTCATTCAATAAATGCCAGCAAACAATGCAAACATTAAAAGCATCAACACAAGGTGATTCCTATTTGCTCCTCAGAATTAAGTGGTCTTTGCTGTTCAAGTCGGGCCTCAGAAGAATTATGTACAATTTGGGGGAAAAGATACAACCCAGCAAACCTGCGCTGGAGGCCAAGATGCAAAAGACCTCCACAGCCACCATCTGCTTTCCTTTGGTGCTCAGATAAGAGGGAACAAAGGACAGCCAAACGCTGCAGAACACCAACATGCTGAAGGTGATGAACTTGGCTTCGTTGAAACTGTCTGGCAACCTCTTGGCCAGGAAAGCCATAGTGAAGCTGACCATGGCCAGAAATCCCAGATAACCCAGGACAGAATAAAACATCGCGACAGAACCTTCGTTGCATTCCACAATGATTTCCTCCATCAGAGAGTTCATGTCCACATCTGGGAATGGAGGAGCCGTACAGAGCCAAGCAGCACAAATGCTGGTTTGAACGGAGCAGCCACCAAGAAGCACAGAGTTTGTGAGAGATTTCCCCACCCATTTCCTCATCCTGGATCCTGGTTTGGTGGCCATGAAAGCCAGAACCACCGTGATGGTTTTGGCCAAGACACAAGACACAGCAATGGAGAAGATGATGCCAAAAGCAGCTTGTCGTAAAGAGCAGCTCACTGGGTGAGGCTGGCCAATGAACAGCAAGGAGCAGAGGAAGCAGAGCAAGAGGGAAGTAAGCAGAGTGTAGGTGAGGTCCCGGTTGTTGGCTTTGACAATGGGAGTGTCTCCATTCCTAGAGAAGACCCCAAGTATCAAAGCTGTGAGCACAGAAAAGACCAGAGCCAAGGAAGCTAAAACAAACCCTAAAGGTTCTGCGTAGGAAAGAAAATGTTGGCGTTTGGGGATGCATTGATCTCTGTCCTTGTTTGGAAACAGATCATCTTGGCATTGGAAACAATAATCCATATCTGAAACAATGAGTGATATATGAGTTCCGACAAATGTTGCATTAATTATTTGGTAATTATTTGGTCAGAACACTTAGTGGTACAATGTTCAAAATAATAATAGTAATAGTAATCCTACCCGTTTGATTTGAAATCATCCCATGTGGACATGAAGCACAATCATAGCAACAAAATGGCAATCCCTCCTTCTTTTTCCTGCTGTAGCCTGGCTGGCAGCGATCATTACACAAGGCAAGGGGCAGCACCTAGCCATAAAAAGAGGAGAAAATGTAGCTCTCTCGTGCCTTGTAAACAACACAATTTTAACCAAAACGAGATTAGCTGGCTGATTAACATTATTCCAGAAAGGCGTGTTGTATAAATAAATAAACTGTAATGTAAATATTGGGAGTGAATGAGAAGGGATACTGAGTTTTAAAGATGGAGGATGGAGAGAGGACAGAGAAGACAACAGACTTTGAAATACAGGGAGTTGACAAAGAAGGTAAAATAGGAAGCATATACATTATTAGGCTCAGAGAAGCACCACAAGACATTAAATCTTTCAAAACAAATGGGTAACTTAGCCTCCCCTTATCTTCTGAGATGTAAATCTCACTTGGGTCAGTATAATTTACTCCTACAATACCGCATTTTAAAAAATCCAATGGTCCCACCTGATTAAAAGATCTGTGCCATGTAATGGCTCCCTCATCCACACTGAAGTCTACGTTTTGTGAGTCTTGTGGAACTATCTTTCCTACTTTCACTCGGGAGAAGGTTTGGTTTGGAAAAGTAACCCAGTTAATAATATCAAATCCACCTGCTAACTCCCCATTCTCATCAAAGGCCACTAAGTCCCCAGCACTGTTGTTGAAGGAGATACTCCTCAAGAACGAGTGCAGCTAGACAGAAGAAAACAAAGGGAAAGTTTAAAAAGGAGAGCTTTTATGGATTATAGTAAGAAGGAGTATCCATCAATATATTTCACACAATAGAAAGTAGTCCAAAACTGTGCAGTCTACAACATTTGAAAAACGTAAGTATTTCTAGTAAGTACAGCTGGCCTGACACTTGTGTGAGGGTTCAGCTCTGGGGTCCATGTGCAAAGGCAAAATGGTTCCATGGCAGGATGCCCTGGAACTGCCCCTCCTGCAAGCTGGGTGGGCAGGGAGAGAGGGAAAACAAAATGGAGAGCAGCTCATGGTGGGTTTTCCTTGATCTCCTTTTTTGTTTTGTTTTGTTTATTTACTTTTCCCCACCCAAGAGATGCATTCAGATCTTGACAGCCCATGTTCCTAGAGATGCAGGGAAAGGGTAAAGAGTGCCATAGCTCCTTCAACTGTTCCTGCAAATGGAAGGGAAGTACAGGTCCTATATTGATTGTGGCTCCTTCATCTTGAAGGAAAGGGAAAACAGTTAAGGATTGAAAAGAATGTGGGAATAGTTGTAGAGGAAAGGTAAAAGCTGTAAGAGGTTGTGTGTGTAAATTATGTCTCTGTGTTTGTGTGTATTCATTCTATGGACTGTGTGTCATCACTCATTAGATTAGCCCCAAGCAAAGGTTTGTTCTGAACAGGAAATCTTACCTTCCAAGGTTGCAGTTTTGGAGAATCGAGCCCACCTATGTCTGCTATCATTCTGCGTTTTGACCTGGATAAGTGCATCTGATGTAAAGAATGTGCAATGGCATAAACCGCATTATAGATACTGTAACTTTGGCCAGTCATGGTCATTTCAAAAATATGCCCAGGAAGGCTCTCCAGACTCTCATGGCCAGTGCAGGTCTTTGTATTTTCCTTGAGCCCATTGGAAGCAGAAAATAAACAGTTGAATGCCTGTTGCCAAAAAGCCTGGAGGAACCCATCTCCATTTGGAGAGTTGGGGTTCAGGGTCTGAAGGAATTCTTTAAATCCCTGGACTTTCTCTGTGTGAATTGCAAAAGACAAGGCACCATCAAAGACTTGTATATCGTAATACCTTTGCATTGTTTCTGAAGAGAAAGCCCACTGGGCTGTCAAAATCCACACAGTGCCTGTAGACTTCTCTGCAACATCTTCAGCTACTGAATAGAAATATTGCACCCATTTCACAACAGCAATGGTCTGAGGTTCTGCACACAGAACCAATATGTTGACTTCTGAGGCCAACAGGAATGAGTACTTGGCCCGAATGCGTTCCAAGAACCTAAAAGGATCTAGACCCTGAGATAAGGCTGGCACTTTTTCATTGAAAGCTGAACAGACTCCATGCTGGGAAAGCATTGGCACTAAGCTTTGCATAAAGGTCTCCCCATTTTCATCATCGGATGCCACAATTCCTACCCATGTCCACTGGAAATATAGAAGTAGCCTGAGAATCCCTGCATATTGATATTTCTCATTGGGCACCGTTCGGTAGAATGTCTGGGGCTGCAACTCCGGGCTTCTCACTGGAGCTAATACACAGTAAGCAATCTGGAGGAAGAAATCAACCCCACAAGAATTGGAGAGTTAGAGCAAACGGTCCCAAGTATCTGCTTAAAGAACAAACCCATGGGAATTTCTCGACTCCATTTATGGATGTATGTTGATTCCACAAGAACATTATGCATATCTCTAGCAGTTGTTGGTGCAGAGGAGGAGCAGGGTTTCTCTGACCTCTTGCAACTGGTGTTGTGCAGCTTCCTGGGAGCAGGAAGAAGACTCCTGCTGCTTCATTGGCCCTGTTCCAACCTCCCTGCTGCTTCCAGTGACACAAGGGAGATGAAGTCAGGCAAGCACCAAAGGCCCTCTCCTCCAACCACTACTGCATGGACACTGAAATATTACTTAAAAAAACCAAGGAAAGCGACAGACTTTTGTATCATTTATATATTTTTTCTTTCTCATTTCTCATTTTCAGAAAGATGAACCAAAGCTAAAGGAAGTATTAAAAACCAGGGAGATAACTATTGCACCAGAGGCAGAAGAGCTTCACAGCCCCCACACTTACTATACCTGTGGAATCTTGTAGACGCCTAAGACAGTAGCCATGTAGAGAGAGATGTCAAAGTCAAGTCCCCCAATAATAGCTATTGTATTTTTCTTCTTCTCACATTTGAAGTTGGGGACAATCCTTTCTGTGATGGACAGAAGTTTCAGGGTGTTCTGATAAGTCATCCTTGCATTTGTGTAGCTATCATAGACATGGAACCCAAAGGTCATATTCGGTACGATATTAGGGTTCTCTTTTATTTCTTTTACAGCAAACACCAGGGAGAGAGTATTCTGGTAGTACTTCAATACTTCACTAAAAAAGAGTTATACTGTATGTCAGAGGTATTCTATTCTATTCACTGGTAACTTTCTGACTTTCTCTGGCAAATCCCAAAAGATTAAATAAAACAAATAAACAAAAAACAGACAAGCAAACCATATATGCATTAATCTCTTATCTGCAGGTGTACCACTGGTGCCTAAAATTATGGGTCCTCACAGGCGGCTAACCGAACAGCCATTCCTCCTGTGCTAATGTTGCAATATGGTTTACATTGTATAGCAGAGAATATAATCCAAAATCTATGATATTCATGTTTCACAGCATCTGTGACTGTCAGATTAAATGCTTCTGATTGTGAATGTGAGGATCCAGCTTTACTGCAAAGGAAAGCCAAATGTTAATGGTGTGAAATTAAACAGAGGGAGGTTGAGGATGAAGTTGGGAGAAGGCGGTGAGAGCCATGGGATCAGGTGATGAGAAAGCAGAACAGGCAGAAGATAGAAACCTCAAGAAGTGGAATCAAGCAATGAAGAAGCCAAGATCACCATATAAAGAGAAGAAAATATATATTTAACATTCCGACTGGGGGAAAAAATCATGTGGAAACATGTTCTGAGGATGCCATTGTATGTTTGGTGTAATTGTAGCATACATGAGCTCACCAAGCGTACACTATGAAGGATAGGGTTTTTTTACTTACAAAAGTTCATCTGTAAGCTTTGTGTTTGGGTGCTCATGGAAATCCATTTCTTCAAATACAAAGCCGAAATAAGAAACAATTCCTCCAATGATTAGGTCCCCTCTCTGATAATTCTGGTATGGAAGCTGGAATGGCTCCATCATGGTGCATCTAGCAGAGTGTTCCTTGCTCTCAGTTGGAGGCAACTGTAGCCACAGGAAGAGAAGAATCTGCAGCTGAAATGTTTCAACCATCTTGGGGCCAACAGGGATGCCGAAAGTCACATTTTTCTCTTATCCACCATAAACTGCATTACAAAAAATCTCATTGAATGACTGGATTATTTTGATAAAGGGAAAATACCAATGATCTAATTCATGAAAACCTGCATGTTCAGAATTTCTCATCGGGGCTCTGAATGACACAGAATTTATTTTATATACACTTTCACAATCTGACATTGATTGTGTTCATGGCCTGAAAAAGTGTACAGGGGATTAGGGAAGATGAATGATAAATCCCAGCAATTTGAGATAATTACTAGTTCCAAAGTTATCTCCTTAGAGCATTGAGCTCTGTGACTTCTAGTAAGATCAAAATAATAATGCATATTTGTTATTGAGTAGTTCTCTTGTAATTGCGAGTGCCCCAGCCAAGCAAGCAGTCCAGCTGCAAACTGTTGATCTGAAGGGAACTTCCTAGTTCCCCCAAAACTCTTCCTCAAACACACCTGCACCATTTCCCCCAGCTGTACATGTGTCACCAATGGAGACATGATTTTCAGGATTTTGTACCACAGGGGTGTTTCCTTGTATACCAGTTAAGGGGAGAAACAAAATACGTAAAATAATGCAGGATCCAGTTGCAGGTGCAATAAAGAGTATGACATTTCCTTACAGAAATGGTTAGTGTAGTGCTGTGGACATACTGTATCTTTATTTCAGTAAGGCTTTGGACAAAGTCGATCTCTCCCCCCCCCCCTTTGATATTCTTCTGAGTGGAATGAGGGAACTGTTAGGTGGATTTGTAGATAGTTGAGGGACCGATCCCATTTTGTTGCAATCTAGGTAATGTCCCAGGCCAGTTGTGCTCAAAGGCATTGCCACGGAATTAGTACCGATCCTCATCAGTGGCAGTGATGGAAATAATTAAGCAATTCACCACTGTCCTAATTGTGTCCTCACACTTTCTCCCAAAGGAATTCTTGGAGCTGCTCCAGATCGTTTTTATCGTTTACTCCCAGATTTCTAATTACATACATGTCAATGAAATAGCAATAACAGACACCAAAAATTACGAACATGATTGAGACTTCTGGATTATTTAAAACTATCTTCTTATTAGCTGCTGTTCAGCTCAGGCCCCAGTAAAATAACATAGCATTTGGGGGAAAAGATGCAGCCCAGTAACCCACAACTGGAGGCCAAGATGGAGAAGATCTCCACAGCCACCATGTATTTGCCCTTGGTGCTCAAGTAGGTTGGAACAAAGGAGAGCCACACACTGCAAAACACCAACATGCTGAAGGAGATGAATTTGGCTTCATTGAAACTGTCAGGCAACCTTCGAGCCAGGAAGGCAACAGTGAAGCTGACTATGGCCAGTAAACCCATGAATCCCAGGACACAATAAAACATGATAGTGGAACCTTCATTACATTCTAGAATTATTTCTTCAGTCATCGAGTCCATGTCAACATCTGGGAATGGGGGAGAGGTTGCCAGCCACACAGTACAAATTGTCACTTGCATAAGGGAGCAGGAAAAAACAATTGGGGTGCCCAGTGGCTTCCCTACCCACTTCCTCATTCGGGACCCTGGCTTGGTGGCCATGAAAGCTAGAACCACAATGGCAGTTTTGGCCAAGATGCAAGAAATTGCCACTGAGAAGATCATGCCAAAAGCAGTTTGTCGAAGGAGGCAGGTGACTTCCTCAGGCTGGCCAATGAAGAGCAGAGCACAAAGGAAGGAGAGCAGGAGGAAATGGAGGAGAATATAAGTGAGGTTGCGGTTGTTGGCTTTAACTATGGGAGTATCTCTGTGCTTTGTGAATATTTGAAGCACCAAAGCTGTGATGCAGGAAAAGAAGAGGGCAAACGTGGCCAAACTGATCCCCAACATCCCCAAGAATGTTTTTTCTTTGGGGAGGCAGCCATTCTGTTCATTGTTTGCATATTGATCTCCAGGGCATTCTAAACAGTCATCCAGGTCTGAAAATGAAAATGGAAGAAACAAATCTTATTATTAAAAAAGGTCTTCAGTCCCCAAATTGGCACAATTCATCTAAGAGATGCCAGAATATATATCTGCTACTTCCATACTGTTTTCCCACTAAAGAAAGGAGCTTCTGATGTACAGATAAAAAAAACATGACAGGTGTGTGTGTGTGTGTGTGTGTGTGTGTGTGTGTGATGCATTCCTTACCCTCCTTGTTTAAGATCTTCCCTTCTGGACACGGAAGGCAATCATAGCAGCAGAATGGCTTTCCTTCCTTCTTGTTCTTTCTATAACCTACATGACAATTCTCATTACACAGAGAAGTGGGTTGTGCCTGTTCATAAATGAAAGAAGGAAATAGTTTAGAACTTATCTTCAAAGAGTAAACATGACAGGTAAGCAATAGGTTGCTAGAGGTGTTTTGTTTTATCTGAAGATGATCTTAAACTCAGAGCTAATGGTAGCATTGGAACTTCTACCATTACTTCAGTACATTTGCCTTTATGAAAACCACATTAGTAAGTATTTGAACTTCTTCAGAGATTAGCATGGCAATATCTTATTAAATTAGAAAATGTTCAGAGAAAAGCTTATTGGGTCACTATCTCATGAATATAGAAATAACTGAATTGTTTTTGATGTATAGTTGCAATAGAAATTATTGAAATTCTGCCCTGTGCAGGTAGTCTAACCACTGTTTCTTTAATTTGGAACTTGCAAACTATGCTTCCAATACTTTCTCTGGCAACATTCAGTGCATTTGCTTTCTTTTTGTATACTTGTATCCTTGCTTGTGAAGGGCGATGATCCCTTCTCTTACCTTCTTGGACCATTCTCCTGACTTAGAAATATGGCTAACATACAACAAAATTTGACACTCCTTGACCCTTGCGAGTTCAAGTATTTCATGTGTTCCAGCTCTAGCACACCTGAAGCCCTTGATTAGTTGCATCAGGTATGCATCAGGTGAGACAACACCTGTTTTATTTGTGCTGTTGTGATGGATTCTATTCAGGGAGTGAATAACAGTGAGACTGAAGAAGACAGTTGAAGTTGCATTTTCAGTTGAATTTGGGGAAACCACTTGAAGCATCCATTTAGTGGAGCTATTTCAATAGCTTTTGCAAGCAATTGAAATTCTGTAAATTTTGATATTAAACCTGATTTGCAATGGGGGTTAAATAATTTTGATTGCAAGTGTAATTGTTTGCTTTTGATGGATTCTTGCAGTGCTGTTTCCTTGCAGAGTTACCATCTTCATCACCTGTGTGTATCTTACAATTTTCTTTTGTGCAGCCAGGTCATAAAAATAATTGTGGGGTACAAATTAGGGCTGTGGAACAGATCTGGCCAAATCCCAAACTGAATCGGGCTGATTCTGAAGGAAAGGCAGGCAGCATCTGCAAAGAGCAGCACAGAGAGCTCTTTGCAACAGAGCTTTCAAATAGCCCCACACTGCACTTTGGATATGTGTGCCTGTTCCAAGCAGGGGGATACATGAGGGCAGTCAAACTGAGGAGGATTGAGCCCTCCATTCACCAGTTCCTGAGTAGAGGGTCCAGTCATGCTGGCTGCAGGGGTCTTCTTCACCAGTGGGTTCCAATCAAGAGTAAATCTTTCTGCTTTCGGCCATATTGTCTGAAGGAGGTTGATTTTGGCCCGGGTGTTTCCTGGCCCAGCCCCAGAATGCGCTGGGAACCTGTGCTGAATCCTGAGAAGGAAGGAAGGAACAATAATAATATGTATATACTAATTAAAAGACATACTGGGCTTCCTCAGATTTCATTGACTAGTGACTCTTTATAGCTGAGACACTTCTGCAAATAGACCTAGAAACCAGATAGCTTTCCTTTTATTAGTGCTACAGCTTGATTTTCCTTCACAGATCGAGTCTGATTCTGATAATTGATGATTCAATGTGTTGCAATGAGGCAGTTTTGGGACACTGAGCAAAAAACTACAGAAAATCCAGAACAACCTCTTACCTGGTTGAACCAGTTGGGCCACATGATACCATCATCATGAATGGTTAACCTCTTTTCTGGGGGAGTTTGTGGGTCCATTGTTCCAACTTTGACTCTCAGAAATGACTGATTGGGGAATGTGACCCAATTTATTATATCAAATCCAGCTACTAATTCCCCATTTTGGTCAAAGGAAACTTCTTCCTCAACACTATTATTAAATGAAACACTTCCCAGAAAGTGGTGGACCTAAATTTGAAGAGGAAAAAGGCAATTAATGAAGATGCCAAAAATAATTAAATATTAGTAATATTCGTACAAATAGAGTGCTTATCTTTAACATTTAAGAGGTATAGGTCATGGTCTCCTTAAAAGATGTATGTTAGTGTCTTTTTTGTTTTTTGTTTTTAATGAGTCTCTTCTTCAAAAATGGATGGAGCTAAAAAGGAAAAAGGAATTAATGAGCAGTGCTGCTTTCTAGAAAAAGAGGTGCTGGAACTCACCACAAACACCTCCCTCGTTCCCTTCGAATGGCAATGGCGCCCCTTGAGAGGGGAGAGAACTGAGTTCCAGGGAGTTCTGGTTGAAAAAAGCCCAGCTCATGAGCATATACAAAAGAGCAATATTGTGGAACACAAGATTTATTTTAAATGTTTTGTGAAGGATACTTTTAATTGTAGCAATGTTTATTGTGGTGGTAAGATGTGGTTCTTTTAAGAATTACAGGAAGTCTTGGCCCAAATTTCATAGAAATTAGACCACAAATATTAGACAGCATGTTCCTTCAGATAGGAGGATAAGCTGTGTAGATAAGATGCTCATCACTTTCCAGGGATCCAAGGTAGGCTTTCTCATCTGAATAAATTTCTGGAATCCTGGAAGATCCTTAGAGTGAACTGCAAAGGATAGAGCCCCATGGAGGAATGTGATGTCCCAACCTCTTTGAAAGGGAAATCAGGTGAAATCCATCTGGGCTGTCATAAT